TCCTGTGATGTCACATGACCCCTGTGGGTGGGTAGCCAGAGCTGTTGCAGGTTATCTCGTACGAGTTAATGCATCTCCCCACCGCCCTCGACCTTCTTCCCACGATTTCCTAAGAGGAGGAGAGGGGGCTCGAATCCCTCTCTACCTGTCATAAATGCGTGGGCAGTGTTGTGTTCGATTTGATAGCTCCATTGCTGCAAGAACAACCCCCCTTCGTTTGTTTGTATTTTTCGGCTTTTAAACTGTCAGATTTGCTGGCCGTAGGTTCAACACGAACGAGGTTCATGACGCGCATCTCTCTATATCGGGCGGGGGGGGGGGGGAGAAAAAAAGATTGGAGCAAAATGTTTTTGAGGAACCGGAAAACGCTGCCAATCATTTTTCGGTAAAAATTTCTGTCGGATTTCGAGACCACCTGAAATAGCCTCACTTGCATCTTTAACTATTCTTTACGGTGCGTGTCGATGCCTTCTGTCTTCAGACAATTTCTACTCTTATTTCTTTCCGATGACTAGTTCCATTTTAGGCGCTGATAAAGAACTGATATACGTTATCACCGCTAGAATATAAGTTACTTTATAAGCAGCAATAGGATTTTATTACTAGACACTCGGACTGTTTTCACATTGATTATAAACAGTATCCGTGATCATATTTAAAGCAAAGGATTTACTTGAAATAATCTCTTGCGAAACCCATTTTTTAAATTTAATTAAAATTAACAAGACACTATGATTAATGAATGAACTACACGAGAAACAGATTCCTTGGAGGTCTAACATTTTCATGTTTAATGGCATGAGTTTTTCCTGTAAAATGTCTTCTAGTGTGTCTAAATTGCAGTTATTTGTAAATTAATTTTTCGACTGAATGCCTTAAATAAGTTGTAATAATAATAATAAATTATATTTATTTTATTTCTGAATTTACGTCAATCGATTTTATTTTGAATCAATAGAAATATCGATAGATTAATTTTCTTCAATGAATATATATAGGTAAAGTTTTCTTTCCTCATTAAAGCTTATTACTCCTGAAGTGGATTTAAAAGTCATGTATTCCTCATGTTCCTTGAATACTACGTTTCGTAAGTAATATCGTGAATTAGATACACGTCGTTTAGTTTACAAGAACTTTTGGGCAAGCAGTGTAAAAAGAAAACAGTTTATACCTTTAAGAGGATATGTATGAATCTGTGGAATTGATTACTAATATATGAAAAGTAACACCCGAACCTTCAAGATATGAACAGTTTTAGAAAGATATAAACAGTTTAGGAATCCATTTGTGCTACGGAGAACAGCTCAAATGACAGTTTTATACGTATGCAAATATACAAATGTAAATATACAGAAGAATGAATAATACTCAAGACTAGAGATTTATTTCCTATTTTAAATAAAAAATTTATTTGTTAATTTTTGAAATATTATATATAACTTAGGACACACAAGTGTTGTGAGAGAAGCACTCTAATCTAAATTTTATTTATTCTCTTAACAAATCCTTTTTTTTCCCAAGCATTTTATTATTATTAGGACATTATTCATTTCTGAGCATAAAAAAGAATTCATTATTAACTGCTTTGTTTCTTGAAAAAATTTCTATAAGGAACAAAAAATGTTTGTATATCCGTATGTTATATTTGATGTGCATTTATGATAACAATATGCAGATTACCATGCACAGGTAGAAGAATAATATAAGTTCTCTAACTGAGGTACATAATACATTGCGTTAGAAACATTTTCATGGAAGCATACCAATGATACAAATGTTTATAAAAATCATTCATGTGAAGTGTACACGAACATTAAAAAGTTTAAGAACCTTGTTCCCATTGATGAATATTAAAAGTTCAGAAACATATTTTGTTTAAATGATTAACTTATCGCAGTGATAAATAAAATAATCATTCTTGTTATTTGTAGAAAGTAAGGTAACATAGACTCTTAAGCAGTTCTTAAGTCCAAAATATTTTTTAAATATTTCTCCGCCCTAGCTCAATAGCAAGTATGAATGACAATCAAATTCCTGACGGTAGAAGATGACGTAACCACTAAAGATCTAATGGTGAGATGGTTTACTGTGACGTCAACATGCGTGTATGCGAGATGAAACCAAAGATGATGAAATTCAGGAAATGATTTCAATGCAAATAAAGGCTTTTTATAGCTACTGAGGGTGTCAATGTATTGGAATTTTCTATAACCGGTTCTACCGTTAAACCACTGAATATGTGTTAACAGGTTGTGAGCCAAAAGCACGTAACCACATTCATTTCTTTAAATGTAAATGTAGCACTTGGATACAGTTTATTCGGTAGATAAAAGTGAACTTATTTCTTTTAAACATAAAACATTTCACAAGCACATTCAATGTTAACGTTTTATTCATTTGTCTTAGTGTTAAGTTACTTTATATAAATAGCGCAATGTCTAAAATTTAGAATGTCGTGAAAAACTTATTTGTACGAAGCTGTAAGAAAACGTTAAATGTTGTCTAGACCAGCGATCTACACTCTCAGTTTATAGTTTAAAATTAAGTGGGTAAAATATTCCATCTCCTTAAAAAATCATTGGAAACTTCCACTGGGTTTTGAACTATTTAACAAAATCATTAATAGACCGGTTACATCCACCACGTGGATTATCAAAGATATTTAATATTTTAAATGGACATTTTGGATCAAGGACTGTTCCAAAATATCGCAGCAGAAAGCGAATTCCGTAATATATACTTTAAAAGAGTGGTAACTTATTTACATGGGTATAATATAAGTGTTATCTATTCGCGTTCCTGCATTCACCTGGTTAAGGTACGATGAAAAATTTCATACATAAATGTCTTTAATCTTCTTGATTTCATTTCTTCTTTTAATGTTGTAATGCTTCTTTTTGTTTTTATGCTTCTTTTTCTAGCTTATAGTTCTTTTTAAAAAATTTTATCGTTAAATTAATAGAGTAAGGTGTTACTTATCATTAAAGTATTTTTTAAGTAATTATGAATAATGTTACTTAAATATAGCTGTAAATTTGATTAGAAAACAAGTTTTGAAATCACGAAATACACTGGTAAACCCACCCTAAATTCGATTCCTGGCCATGACTCAGGCTGCTGCCTGGGAGTTTATGTTATTCGTGAGATTTATATGTCAGTTGCACCAATTGCTTTAAACTCAAATTAAGTGAAATTCCGCTTTAGATTGGAACTGATTTCATATAAAAAAAGTGACATAGACGGACCAGTTCAGAAAACTGGAGGTCCGGACAAAATTGTTAAGAAGGCATTCTTCCTGATTTTTTCAATGAAATAGATATCTTATAATTGAAAGTATACATGAAATTTCACATATGTTATATATAGGAAGATTTGGAGGCCTCTTTGGTAGTGTAGACCCGAGACATATGTCATGCTTGTTTGGAATTCGGCTGCACTGACATACATTGACATTCCACGGAGGTCTTTCGTACGTATTACACGCGGTCTGGTAAATTGCTGAAAGCCAGATATGTTACTGTTAGCTATGGCGTAAGATCTTTAATTTATCTTTAAAATTCATTATATTGTTCGAATAACTGAAAGAAAAATGCATGTATTTGTTAATTATTTATATCTTTATTTCATTTTTAATAATAATCCTGATACAATTTATAATAAAACAAATTCGTAAGATTTATGATAAATTCAATTGATAATTTTCGTAAATATACCCACTATTATTGTATTTAATAAGAGATGTCTCTAGCACCCTATTACACATCTCAGTACACCAGTAGTCATATCTATATAACAATGAAGTTTTTAGAAAATCAGTTTCAGTTCTAAGGCTATCGTTGAAATCTGAATTTCCGAAAAATGTACTGTCGATCTGTTTTTTTCAATTGATCGAATTCTGTCTGATATTGATTTTTCAAACTTGATCAAAATCATTACCTTATTTGACTTTCACCGTTCAAGAGTTGTTCAAAATTAAACCGTCATCAGGTGGTTGGAAAAGACTGCACGACCTCCAGCATATTAAGTGCTACGTTTTGCGTAAAATTAGTGTTCTTATTGTCCTTCTCCCCCTCTCTTTTCTCAGAAACCATCTTTACCCTCCTCAGTTGCTACAATATCGAAGGGCGTCTTTTCGCTTTCGCATAGCATATCTTTAATTTCGAGGTGAAGAAAAATGTGTCCACAGCAGCATACGAGGTGTCGCATCTATGCTACCTACTTGACCCCGACCTAGGTGAGGGAGACCCCACTTTCTCTCCCCATCTTATGTGTTTTATTAAGCTTTTCTTGTTTTATGAATGACGTTATACCGTGACTTGAATGGTAATGGCACACTGTTACTCTGCGTAGAGAGGGCCAAGATGAGGTCTCTGAAACATCAGCCTTACCATTATATGTCATAACCAGACTCACAAATAAATAAGCTTCCAGATTATGAGACCTTTACAAGGAAAGGCATGGTATTTTCTGCTGTCGACTTTCTCTGTATTATACCATGTTTATTCATCGAACTAACTGATATTTGATTTATTACTCTCAGACAATTCATATTAATTTTCATACAATTTCTATTAATTTATAAACCGAAGCAAAATTTGAGTTCAAAAGGTGCGTCCTTTTCAAGTATGTGTGTTTTCAAGTACGTGATAATGTACTTCGGCTTGCTGATATTGCTTTATCAGAAAAACGAAATTACTCTTGAAGAACAAATTGGCAATAGCAAGAGAGATGAAACGACGGAGGTACAACATGCTAAACTTTGGTACTTTTTGTCCCTTTAATGGGTTATAACTGAATGGTGGAACTACTGGTTTTGATTTTACGATGTTGCAAATTTTGTGTTTGCATAGATTTTGCTGCTTTTGAAGACATTGTTTCTGAAGACAATTCTTTTGTAATGCACTTAGCTAGTACTTTCATTATCATTTATTATAAAATTATTGTTATTAAATATTTATTATAAAATTACTTGTAGAATTTATAATTTTTTTCTTTTTCAGTTGAAGTTCTATTATTACGATTCAGATTATGTGAGTGGCACACAAGATCTGAACCAAAACTGGTTGCCAAAGATTCCACCTACAAACATGAGTGTCTTCCGAGCCATTACAGTAAGTTACTTTCTTTAATGCATGAATAGTGATTACTCGAAAGTAACACTGATTCTGTATTAGCAATCGAATTAATGTTAGTGGTTAATACTTTTATAGACGAGAAAAATTTACTTCATTTCAGCATATTTCCTGTTCGTGATAAACGAGTTATTTTATCAAAAAAGAAAAATAGATAGGTAATTGAATCATTAACTGAATGACCCAAAATTTAATCATATGATTTGTTGATTTAATCAGCAATAAATCATATGAAAATTGCTATTTATTTTTCGCTTTTATCAAGTCTCGTTTACCAAAAAGATAAAATAAAAACGGGATATAATAAAGATCGCAGTTACCTTCATAGTGTTGAATTCTGAAATAAAAAATATGAAGGAAGTAAATTAGTTTGAAATCTGTATAAGAATAACTATAAACTCAAGGATGGAGCAAATGGCATAAAACTTTTCTTAAGTTATCCTATATTCATACAAAAATCACTGTTTTCTTATAAAATTCATCTTAAAGTAGATAACCCGGATAGTCAAATGAAATCAATCATTTTGCAGCATACTTGGATTACTCTTATTGTGGCCATCTTGGTGTAAACGCTAATTTTTTATAATACTGTGTTCATGAAAAATAGTGCTCATTTTTGGAAGTATCTGTAATAAAAGCAAAGCGATCAGTTGTTTTACTTTCAGACAGAAAACAGTTGAATAGGATTAATCAACTGTACTCGTGTCTTGAAATTGAATTCCACTATTTCTGTGACGCCTCTCAGATGAAAAAAATGATTTTACACAATTTAGTCTCTTTTCACTGCACTTCCAACACTTAGATTTAGGATCTCTTTTTTTTCATAGTTTTCTTTTATATTCTGTGTTACCCAAGGCTGGCTCCAGAGCCGGTGTAACTGGCGCAGTCGCATCGGGCGAGAACTTGGGGGCAACAAAACTCTTAAAATTAGAAATAAGAAAGCAAGTGGCAGAATTTGCACGGGCGGCAAAAAGCTTAGCGCCGACCCTGATGTTACCTGTCTTTTGATTTTCCGATGACTATTTAATAAGAAATTCACAGTCTTTAGAACTTTTTAGTTCGGATGGTTAGGGTTATATATTATTCAAGCTGTTTTATTTACTTTTTTTTTTTTTTCAATAAGCTAAGCATAGTTATTATTATTACGCTGTTGGCAATTAAAACTGTCCGCAGTAAACCTTAAAAGAACGACAAAAAAAGTTCACAGTAAACCTGAAATTTGCAAGATAGAGCAAGTTGAATTTGCAAATGATAAAACGTTCCCAGCATGGGCTCATTACCAGCCAACCTAATGGCACTTTGCAGCAATATGAAGGCAGATAGAAATGCCGATTTTTCATCCAGAAAATGTATTTACTGACAGCTTTTTTATGTTGGAGGTCATGTTATGCTTTGTATAAGAAAAAGAAACTCGTAGTATCTCGTCTCAAAATACGATCTTGGGAGAACTATAACCTACCGTGATTGCGGATTATCGTAACGAGAAATTCGCTTTTAGTCAAGAACCAGTGACGAATTTATAAACGATAGGTCTAAGAAGGGCCAAATGTAGTGAAGGGCGAGACCTGAATATCCTTCGCGAATAAGTGCTCGAAATGACGGACAACTTTTCCGCATCTCTGTTAGAGATCGTACAGCCACACAAATTGTCCTGAGTTAGAAGATTGGGTGTGTTGCAAAACATCAAGTATCCCCATGTAAAGTGCTATGATGTCTACAGCGATATGGATTGCCAGCCAAGCAATCACTGCTTCGGCTTACTTGATGCTTTCCTGCTTTTGCTTAGAGAACGACGATGGCTGTATCCATGTATGGAAACAGCAATCGGAAGAGGTAATATTTTTCATTGTGTTACAGGGCAAGCTCGTGGAAATGCCATTGGGTGAACATCACAATTATACCTAGTATGTATATTTGGTATTTTGACAAGCCACCTTCACGTTATCGAGGCTTTAATACCCATCGCTATGCTATATCTTCGGGGGCCACTGTCGTTATATTTTTCAGTATCACATTGCGAGACTGTACGTTGCCTAGCTGTCCAATGGGTGCGTGGCTTACCGATACTAGGCTGTTGTGTACCTGAAAACTGCCTGCAGTTTTAATTTCATCCTCCCACAAGAAGGTGTTTCTAAAATAAATATTATTCTTATTAAATGACTTTCCAGTGCATCCACTGTAATTTCCAGTGTAATGATCAACAGTGTATATGGCTCGATGATAGACGTAATGATATCTTATTAATTTTATGAACTATTAGCTAGACTGCAATCATTGTTCCATGTTGTTATACAGCTCTCGATCTGAACTTAAAATGTTTTAAAAGAGACGAATTATCTCAGATTAATCAATTAGTTTTTACTCCAGCGACTGATATTCTACTGAATAGATATAATTTCTGAACCCTGTCGTTTCTTCTCAATTTGCTTTCGTTCAAAATAAAGCTTATTGCTATAGATTCTTTATACTTTTATTATCAGAGAAAAAAATATCTGAACCAGTTTCACTCTACATGCTCTCCTCCACGCAAATTCTGTAGCGTTGTTTTACTATAATAGATGATTTGGCTATAGACTTTAAACTTGAAAATGAACAGAGGTTACTCATTCTGGAAGAGCTTATTGCGACCAAATTATGCACTCAAAGTGATTCTACGTTTTTCGAAGATTTTTTCAAATTAGACTCATATTCGAAATTCGAATATGAACGGTGTAAATTTACTCAGTGCCTTGATAATTCCAGTGCAAGAATTTTATTCATTGATCAAATGGTTTTCCTTTTATAAGCTGCCTAATTCAGAAATTATGAGAATTGAAATATTCCACTATTCAGGAATTATGGTATGATACTTGGGGTCCTTTTTCTGCTCAGAAACTGTTGCTCATAACCAAATGAGACAAATATTCTCGTATGCCATTTATGTGCGATTATTAAAATACTGATTTAAGTAGATTACATCATCAAATAATATTAATTTATTGTAAATGCTTACCTACTGTAACAGGCTGACAACTAATAAATGACAAGTTATATATTTGATGTTAGGTTAGAAGATGGGCATTTTGAAAGACCGTTTTCCTTTTCTAAGTCAAGTAATTCTGTCAGATGAATAATTTTTTATAGTTTTAAAATCATATTCAGAGTTTGGATTATTTCAGAATCTTCAAATGCGAATGATTTCTTATGAACTTCTTACATGTATTAAAGTATGTTTTTAATTTTGCTGTATATTTAAGGCCATCACACTGGACAATATTTCGGAAAACTTGGAACTAGCTTGGACCTCTCGAAGACCCAGCTTGGTTGCCAATCAAAAGACGAAAAATACCTCGGTTAGTGTTTCTGCAGTTATGCCATTTTCGTCTATTCTGATCAGTAGAGCTGAGAGGAATTTTTTTAATTCGAAATGCTCACTGTGTTATGGCCTTTGAGATGCTGATTCTTTTTTTTTTTTTTTTTTTGTTTTGTTTTGTTGTTTTTTTTCGTTATAAGGTTTAAATTATCGATTCCTTTTTGTCTTTCCAGAAGGAGGAAGCCTTCCTCAAGTCGTTCGAGTTCCTGCAGTTCTTTGCGGTGGGCATCGAGCGCATTATCTTGGACCAGTTGTTCCATGGTGGACAGTTCGTCAACGCCTTCCGTGAAGTCGAGAATCATCTGACACAACTACTGTGCGAACTCCAGCTGGGCCTCAGCTCCCTCAACGTGCGACCTTCGCGCGACGTGCTGCGTGATGTTATGAATGAAAAATACCGAGACGTACCCTCTCATTCCCAGCGCGTTACTCGGGATTATATAATCCTGCGGGATTATATCGTCGCCACGGACTTTGTTGAGAAACTTTTTGAGTACAGGCTCGATCGGACGTTATAACGTGGGAAGATATGTAATATCCAATGCTGTGATCTTTTATTTATATTTTAATTTATTTTTTTAATCCTATGGACTCTTCTGGGCGATCATCATCTTTTTTATTTTTTAAAAAATTTTAAGACATTTATTTTTGTTTATACATTTTCCCTTCTCTTAGAAAAGCATAAAGGAAGCTCGATTTTAATCAAGATGTCTCCTGACAGTCCACTTGATTCATGATTAATCGATGATAGTTTCGAAAATGCATCAGTTAAAGTCGGTAAATAAATGAACTACATTACAAGTTGTGGATCAAAAATTATTTTGATTCAAAAATTTATCTATGCTTCCAAGGAAAAAGTATTGGATGATGAATTTTCTGAATTCCTATCTAATTCTTCTCCACAGAGGTTGAAGAGTTTCGCAGAAGGGCAAAAGAATGTGTGAAGTTAGATTTTTCACTGAAAAAGAAATCGTTTAAGAAACGGGTATTTTTCTATGAATATGCTTGTTATATATAACCAACAGTGTCATAAAGAAGATGAAATTAAAAAAAATAACTAAGTTTATAGATCTTTGGTAAATTGAAGTTAAATCTCCAAAAGCTATTCTAATTAAAATGCTAACAACTGAAACGGAATGTGGACATCTCAACGGCAAGAAACTTTAAGAATTTTACCCTTCATCCAAACATTTTGCCAATTTTCACCTTGCCATTCAATGAACTAGTGATTTCGTATATGTGCCAGTGGAACACTTTTCAGATCTTTCTTGCTGGGGACTCACTGGAAAATTTTAAACATCTTAATCTTAAGAGTATTCCTGTACTATATAGGTGTTCTGTTTTGTGATGATTCTATGTGTCCAAAAAATGTTGAACTAAAGACTGCAGTGAAATATTGTCTGCAACAGGTGGAAAAATGGAAAGTAAAGATTTCCACCATTTTCTGTTACCGCTGTGCAATCCGTATCTCGGAAAAAAAAACAATGATGCTTCTATATCTCGCACTGCAACAAGTGAAAAACATTTTGTTGAAAACTGTGTCCGGACGTTTTCTTTTTCCTTCACTGAACTCAATCATTTGCTGAAGAATGTCTTATTTATTTATTTATTTTTTATTTGTAATACCTCCTCACAAGTGAATATTACTTTCTCCATATGGATGGGTGAACACTCGTCAACAGTTATACTCAAGGAAGCGTAATGTACTCGAATGGCAATGAATCAGCTTTTGAGTTTTTAAAAGTTATTTCTCTGAAGTTTATCGTGTTCCTAAAGGGCCAGGCCCAGTTGAAGTTTGCATATTTTACTTTTGATTGACGTTTTGCTGAATGTTAAAAAATTTTAAACTTTTAATGCCAATTTTGAAGTTTAAATAATTCATGATTTTAGGCTTTTTACTTAACGATTGCATATTCATTCGCATTCTGCGATTTCATTTTTGCATTTAAAATATTGAACGTTCATTCATTAAAATTTTTTTAAATTATTTTAAGAGCTTAATAGCAATTCACTTATTAATTTAGCATTTAAAAAATTGTATTAATTTATAAACGTTTTAAACTTTTTAATGTGGTTACGTGTATATTTTGTATTTAATTTTTTTAATTGTTAGATTATTTAAAATGTATTAGAAGAAACTTCGAAATGTGTATTTTTTAAGCTTTAATTTTTGGATTGAGATTCATCCCACCCAGTGACGTGTTCAGTCAAACTTCTTTATAAAGTAGAAACGCCATAATTTTTTAAACTAGAAATGCTCTTTATTTACCTTTTTTTTTAATTATTATTATTATTACATGTTCAAAGTGTACTTTTTTAATATTTTAATTTGTATTGTCCCTTTTTTATGTGCCCTGTTTTCAAAAACATTTTTGTGAAATTTAAGTTAAGAATACTTCTACTTAATTCCGGGTTTTTTTTTTTAAATATATTTTACAAGTCTCGTAAAAATGAACAGAAAGCTTGTCTAAATTTTGTAGAGAATAATTTTATTCCAAAATGCATAAATACCTATTGAGCAAAAATTTCAGAATTTTTTTCGATCACTACAGTGTTACTCCCACTTACTTAATTTTGTATACTTTTTTAATTTTTCTATCAAATTTGTATTTTACAATATATTTATCTGTACATATTTGTGTGTATGCATGTGATTGTATGAATTCTAAGCAGGGTCGGCACTAGACTTTTTGCCGTCCGGTGCAAATTTCGCGACTCCAAAATTCTGCGCCAGATTCCTTTCTAAAATCTAAAGATTTTGCCGCTATTAATTCTACCGCCCGGTGCGGTCGCATCGGTTGCACACGGTCTGGCGCCGGCCCTAACTGTAAGAAACAATTCTCGATCAAAAGCTAGCAGACAGTGAATTAAGAACATTTAATATGTCACAAGAACAGGTCAATGAAATCGCAGCAAGAAAGTCATTGTAATTTGTTATAAAATTCGAAGAATATGATCAGCAAAATTTTTGCTGCATTATATTTTGACTGAGAGTCTCAAAAAACACAATAACAGCCCAGGATTCAATATTACATTTTCATTTTTCGGGTAGCATCTTTTTTTCAATTAATCTTCTAAATGAAGACAATTTATAACTAATACATATTTGATTTCATCTCTCTGTCTTTTTAAACTCAAACTCATAATATGTTCTTAATTCCATGTCCTCGTTTTTTCAAGAGAGTCTGGCTGTGTAAATAGAATCGTCTGCCAGATGTATGGATGATGTGAAAAAATGGACGTGATTTCTGTGTTAATAATTTTCTCATCGTGGTTCCTATCTGTTTAATTTAAAAATTCGAGGTATGTTGTAATATGAAAATGTATCGTGGTGCTAATGTCGTTGAAAGCTATTTTTGTGAATAAATGCAATTTTTAGCCATGATATGCTTTTGTTTCATTTCAGTATAGCTCCTCTTAAAATACTTCCTACACTCTCGGGAAATGAATTATATGATTTCGGTTTGCTACTATAGGTAATTATAGTATTAAAGAAATTGCTTCCACAATACCTACAGCAATCTTTCGTGGCCAAATTTATTCGGAATTTCTGAAAGCGCAAAAAAGAATGGTTTGTATCCTTGAGTGACCTGTCATATCACTCACTTAACATAAGGGTAAATATATTTTTCATAAAGATATCACTTGCTGCGAACGTTAGATAGGTGGAAGAGGGAAGGCAAAGTTACGAATCATTGGCCTAGCAAGATACACCCATTCATACCATTCAGCAATGATTTAAATAAACTTTAACGAGGTACGAGTAGATTAGATCGTCTGGAAAAGCTCGAATGCACATACACAAAAGAAAGAAAAAGAAGGGGAAGTTAATTTCATTGTTACAGACCTATTTGACAGAGATTTTATTACAAACTATATACCTTCTCGACAGAATAATATACGTACATTCGAACATTCGAAAGACAGAATAATATACGTACTCGTACATTCGAAATTTAAACATCGTTTAGGTGCGTATATGTAAAAATAGTGTAATTGGAATAATTAGCTAATATGAATGATAAACGAATGGAAAGTTCATAATTTTTAAAATTAGATTGTTTTCAAGAATGGCTGTGATTTTCGACAATCAAAATCCCGATGCATATTATGCTGGCTGTCGGGGTAATTTCAATATTCCTGAGATTACAGGCGCTAAAATTCTAGCTCGAAATTGTTACACATAAAAATAAAACTTGTTTTACTATTTTGATGAGCTGAAGATAGTTTTATTTTAAATATTTTCGAAAAGCATGCAGGAGTTTTGAATTAAATTCCAGTCTCAGTGAACCACCTTTTGCTGAAATAAATGTTTTTCGTACACTAATTGACGATATTATTTATTAATTAATTTGTAAACAAGGAATACATACTGGCTGATCTAAAATTCACACACATCCAACTTTCAAAAACTGTCGAAAGGATGAAGAAAGGATGTTAATTGCAAAATGTTTCAGTGGATTACACCCCTATACTGTTACAAATAATTTATCATTTAAAATGTCTGTTGCAATTTTACTTTTAGCTCTAAAAAGCTTAATTTATTTATTTTTTATTTTATTTATTTATTTATTTGTGTGTGTGTGTAAGATGGGAATGAGATTTTGCTTGGCGGAACGAATTTTTATGATTTAGAATTACTTCGCAAAGCATAAATTTGATTGCAATGAAATATTCTCATACTCTTTACTAGTAATTGCATTTTATTTCTGACTTTGTCCGTTTTATCGAAAGCCAAAGAAAGGGGCGACCACTTCGTTTCTTATGGTGAACGGTTCCAGTTTTTCGAAATCAGGTTGGCGAGTAAAAAAGCATGTTCTTGTTAAATTCGCAAATATTTAGGAAGATTTCTTTAAATGCTTCAATAACGTTTTCGTAAGAATACCTGACAATGTTTTGCTCAATCATAAAAATTCATTATGCTTCGTCAAAACTAACAAACTCATTTCCATCTTGTAACACGCAAACGGTTTTTAATTTTCAAGCTTTACAGTGCAAATCAGAGATGCTTTCTGCGTTCTTAATTAGAATGGCATGGTGCGTATGCCTCAGTAAAGAGCCATATTTGTTGGAAATATGCAAATCTAGATAATATGTAGCATCTACAGATTTATTGTTACTAACTACTGAGCCTAAGAGCAAAGCACATTATTTATCATTACATACTTTCACGTAGTTTGATTTACACTGTTCAGTAAAGGAGATATTTTCCATAAGATTCGTCAAGTCCAAGTATCACTATCCGGTTGGTAGTTGACTCGAGACGGAGACATCATCATTCTACCAAGAGGTTAGATGATATTGTCTCGCTTCCTCGCATATTTAGCATTAGGAGATACATTAAATAACATTGAAAGATACACTGAAGTGACAAAAGTCATGGGATAGCAATATGCAAATATACAGATGGCATTAGTATCGCGTAGAAAATGTATAAATGCGAAGTGCTTTGGCAGGGCGTTTCATTTGTGTTCAAGTTATTCATGTGAGGAGGCTTTGACGTGATTATGGACGCTCGACGAGAATTAACAGACTTTGAACGCGGAATGCTAGTTGGAGCTAGACGCATGGGTCATTCCATTTCGGATATCGTTAGGGAATTCAACATTCCGAGATCCACAGTGTCAAGAGTGTGCCGAGAGTATCTAATTTCAGGCATAACATCCCACCATGGACAGCGCAGTGACCGACCACGTGCACTTAACGACCGAGACCAGCGGCGTCTGCGTAGAGTTGTCAATGTTCACAGACAAGCAACACTGCGTCAAATAACCGCAGAAATCAATGTGGGACGTACGAGGGACGTGTCCGATAGGACAGGGCGGCGAAATTTGTCTTCCTTGGGTTATGCCAGCAGAAGACCGACTCGAGTGCCTTTACTGACAGCACGACATCGCCTGCAGCGACTCTCGTGGGCTCGTGAGCATATCGGTTGGTCCCTAAACGTATAGAAAACGGTGGTTTGGTCAGATGAGTCACGATTTCAGTTGGTAAGAGCTGATGGTAGGGTTCGAGTGTGGTGCAGACCCCACGAAGCCATGGGCCCAAGTTGTCAACAAGGCACTGTTTAAGCTGGTGGTGGTTCCATAATGGTCTGGGCTGTTTTTACATGGCATGGACTCGGTCCTCTGGTGCAACTGAACAGATCATTGACTGGAAATGGATACCTTCAGCTACTTGGAGATCACTTACAGCCATTCATGGACTTCCCGTACTCAAACAACGATGGGAATTTTATGGATGACAATGCGCCATGTCACCGGGCCACAATTGTTCGCGATTGGTTAGTAGAACATTCTGGACAATTCCAGCGAATGATCTGGCCACCTAGATCGCCCGACATGAATCCCATCGAACATTTATGGGACATCATCGAGAGGTCAGTTCGTGCCCAAAACCCTGCAAATGGCAACACTTTCACAATTATGGACGTCTATAGAGGCAGCATGGCTCAATATTCCTGCAGGGGACTTCCAGCGACTTGTTGAATCCATGCCACGTCGAGTTGCTGAACTTCGCCAGGCAAAAGGAGGACCGACAAAATATTAGGAGGCATCCCATGACTTTTGTCACTTCAGTGTATTGTTATTGATGTGAATCAGGACATAATTACATAATTATTACATTACATCAGATATCCAAATTACTTTACAGCACAGCATACACTTAAAATAGTACACATCGCAACTACGATTTGCAAAGTAAACCACTTCACAAACTTGACTGAAATTTACAAAGATATGTTGCGAGACACACAAATATAGTGATAGTACAGAGAGTTCTAGAAACAAACTGACTGAATATTAAAAAATTATTACTCTAGGTACTGTTCACTCTTCCTTTAACCCCCCCCCCAAAAAAAGAGGGGAAAAATTATGCAACGAGGCATTGGTTGGGCTAGAATTTTGCAAGCTTGTCGATAACTGGCCGATCCCTGCCATTAATAATGTTTTACCATAAGATTGATTACCAAGAGATTTTAAGGTGGCGTGCTTTGGTAAGTGGGCAGATGGTAAGATGAAGATCTGAGGTACCAATATTTCCACAGAACAGAGTTCGATGTTGCTGACGCCGAGTCTATTAAAATATTTGAGAAAGGGAACTATGACCTGTAATAAATCTTGTTAATTGCGGGAATGATGTTGCGTTTGATTTCTACTTGCGTGTAGTAGTAGTATATGCAGCGGCCTTGTTTACGTTCATCCCACTCTGTTTGCCATTGGACTTTTGCTTTGCTTTTTTTTTTTTTTTTTTCCAAGTATTGAGCGTGGCCAAAGTGCTGGTTGTGGGTAATGAATACTTCGGATGTTCCGATTGGTAGTGGGAAAAAAATCATTCAGAAATTCTGTAGGACTTATTTCTCCGCTGATCTAGATTCAAGGATTTACTATTTTTACACTACATTTTTACTTGTTCAATAATTGTTTCGGTGACTAATGGCTTGCAATAGCTATTGACTAATATATCTTATAACATGATGTGTTCTTACTGATCTTATTTTAACTAAGTTTAGAAGCAATCAACTAGGATTTCTGTGATCCAAAAGAAAATAGGCTACAGTACTCGCGCACTGGTCTATGCTAAACTCTTATCTAGAATATTATATAAATATTCTATATATATATTATATATATTTTATATAAAAGAATTTTATAGGAGTTTTCTGATTAATACAAACTTGCTCATTTACCATTTGCATGTAATGCTACAAATTGTTGAATTACAAGTCCTAAGAATGATTAAAATCTTGCACAGGAAACGCTTTTCTTCTACATGTCATTATATCCTTTATTGAAAGTCTATTGATTTCACTGAATTGAGTATTTTTTAAGCTTGCTAGAAGAGAAAGGCCGCTCAAAACTCCTTATGTGCTTAATGACATATCTAGTCCAGTGACGCTTTGCATAAATAAATTCTCTCAGGAATATGATAATTTAATGTTTGGAATTAAAGATAGGACAGCATATTTATGGCAGACAAAGGTTAGGTTATGTGGGCTATTTGCCTAAGGGAAGAGATACGTACTTTGAAGGGTTTTTTTTAAGGGAAATGGGCTCGTATTCGCATTCGGGAAAATCATGAAAATTAATCTTGTAGACAGCCGGCTCACTAAGTCTCGAACCCAGTCGAACTAGCAATATTCAGCGTTTTAAAAGACAAAGAATGATTCTTAATTTATGTACTGCGGTTTGGTTAGGTATTAGATCTAAGATCACTGAGTATTGTTTCCGAGTTCTTACAATATTGTATGTAAAGGATTCAGACAGAGCAGTGTTTAGGGCTCTGCGCATGTTAAATTTGTTTCGGTGGAAAATTAGATTATTTTACACATCGATCTATTTATATCTTGATACTCTTCTTAAGATTTTATATATTTCTTCTTGA